CATATTAAAATTAAATAAATATATACAAAATTTATTGTATAAAAATACGAATGTCCTTCAGTCCGTGAAACTGTCTTTTTGTACATCTGTCCGTCCATCTGGCGCTTTTTCCGTATGAATGCAAACTATTTAGAGGCTACTTGAGCTAGAGGCTTCAGACCTGAAACATATATGCAGGAATTATAAAGAATTAAGATTACCGCCCACTGAAGTGACAAATCGGATAATGCATCTTCCGGTTTTTCAGACGTTAGGGTAGCTAGAGGGCTAGAGAGCTGAAATTTAGAACATATACTCGAAAAAGCTCAACAATATATGGCAGATATACCATGGGGGTGTGGGGCAAATTTTCTGTAGTCTTGACCGACTGCAAAGTTTTTACTTATCTTCCATTGCAAATTTAAAGAATAGTCATACGAAAATACATTTTTAAATTCTATTGCTCTTCTATAAATCAGACAAAGATTTTGAATAATCAAATTTCTAGTATTCAAAAAAAAATGTTTTAAGCTTTTATATATTTGAGGCTATTTAAGTTTTTAAGAAGTATGAATTTTTCCATTTTTGTGCTTACATAATTTTAGTATATAAAGAAAATTTAGTAATTAAAAAAATGAGTATTTTATTTAAAAGCCAAAAACTATCTGCAGTTTTATAACAGCTTAAGAGAATGGGGAAAAAAGTTTTTTTTATAAAATTGCTGTTGTTGTTGTTGCATCGACAAGTCGAAGTTTTTTAATAGGCCCTAGGCACACACAATATAATGGCTGTGGCTTTGGCATATTCACAAATATATAGCAAACTCTATTCCCTCTCTCTCTCTCTCTCTCTCTCTGTCTCTCTATCTCTCTTTCTCTCTCCATATATATGTATATATATATTATTTGAGTTTTTGTTACTTTTTTTCTTTTTTGCAGCAAGCCCACCATTGGGCCATTTCAAACTGGCACATCAATTTTGGTTTTCCTATCCGCCACCTGGCGCTGGCGGCGGCTCCTCAAGTGAGTTGCATGTACGATATAGGTGTTGCAGCATTTTTGATTTTCTGTACGTCTTTTCATAAACTTTTTCCGGTCTTTGGTTGATATACTCGTTTTCCTTTTCTTATTTTGGTTTTTCATTTTGGATCTTTGGTTGTTCCTTCCTCTTATAACGGCAAGTCTCTAAATGTACCCAGTCTCTTGCTCTGTTTTACAGTTCGATTAAATATATTCTTGCGTTTGTATACGTACGTATGTAACTAAGTGAACCTGACTCGTATACTCATACTAGATATACCTAAAAAAAAAGTAAAAAAAAAAAACATTAAAAAAATAAAAATAAAAAATAAATAAAAAATACTAT